GGGGTGGGGGAGGCACTGCGGAGTGGTGGGGGGCTGCCCAAGGGGCTGGGAGAGGGTCCGGCCCACTCTGCGCCTGGGCTGGGACTGGTCCCACCTGCACAGGGTACCAGGAAGCTCTCCGCACACTCACCGGACCTGGGCTAGGACTGGATCTGGGGGCTCCCGGAACTCGGCAGAAAATGCTACTCGGCGGGCGGGGTGGGGGAGGCACTGTGGAGTGGTGGGGGGCGCCCCAAGGGGCTGGGAGAGGGTCCGGCCCACTCTGCGCCTGGGCTGGGACTAGTCCCGCCGGCGCAGGGTAGCAGGAAGCTCTCTGCACACTCACCGGACCTGGGCTAGGACTGGGTCTGGGGGCTCCCGGAACTCGGCCTGTATTACACTTTTAGATAACTTCATCTATAATTGTCCTCTGATGTGAGGAGCATAATGATGTACCCAGTGAATCACATTTGTACATAATTTTTGATACAAATTTAACTGACATTTTAAATCTATATAGAACTACCTTGTAAATCAAAGTTGTGTGGGCATTTGTGCTTTAAAAAAATAAAAGGATACTGAAAAAAAGAATAAGTCATGTATTATTGTGGTATAATACCACACTAAACTTGGCAGCTTGAAACAGAAACCATTTTATTTGTCAGTGGTATCTCTGGTAGTGGAAGACATTTTCCTTTGGTTTTTGTGGGTTTCTCATATTACTGCATGCCTTGCAAGCAGTGGTATTGCCAGCCTTTGTTCTTGACATCTTTTCACAAGTGTTTATGTAGCAAATCATCTAAAAACAATAGAGATAATATCCTCGTGGATAAAAGGCAAGTTTGTCTATTTGGATACCTTCTTTGGGTTAAGAATTGGGCAGGCTCACTTGCATCCCACTGTGAGAGATGGGCTTCACAAGACTTGAGGTTCCCCAGTTGGAATGCAAGTGAGGTCACCTGTGTTGAACCTGGAACCCTAAGGGCAAGTGAGAACTGATATAAAGACGAGCTTCATGTCTCATGCAGTACTGCCTTTACTTTGTGTCCTTTACTTCTCACCTGAGATCTTGTGATTTCTGCCAGTGTCCATGAAATCCTAGCAGGCTATCTTGTCATTTGGCAAATAGTTTGAGCCCTTATACTCCTGCAGTTCCTCTCACAGTGACTCAGTCTTTTGACGGTCTTGCTAAAGCCATGTTGCTGTCATCATTTGGCACTAAGCTGAGCTGATCTGGGGATGGCATGTCTCAGGTGTCTGGCAGTGGATGCTGTCTGTCCACTGAACCTCTTTCCCTGAGGGTTCTCATCCTCAGAAAGGCCGGCCTTTGCTTCTTGAAAGACAGTGGCCTCATTGCAAAATGGTGAGGGTATAACACTGGAGACTCTAGACCCCTTGGTTCACAGGATAAAAAGAGTCCTGAAGCCAGGCTGAAAGTAATTACAGCGTACTGATAAGGAATGGCAAAGCCAGCCTACAGAGGGCAGATGTGCACAGATGGGAAGGGTCACTGTGCTTCTTTGTGTGTCCAAGGTATTTTTCTTTTCCTTCCATTCTTTGTGCTGTATACTTAGTAAACTCACTCTAAAGCAGCTTTAGAGACATTAAAGTAATGTCTCTAAAAATATTTTGCAGCTTAAAAACATTAAAAAACTTGATAATTTTGTTGCTTCTCTTTCTAGAGCCCCTATTATTTAAGTGATAGAGCTTTTTGGTTAATATTCTGAGTTTTTTCTATTATCTCTTTGTCTTTTATTTTCCTGTCTGATTAGTATTCTTGATTTTTTTCTTCATTTTAGATATTGAATTTTCAGTTTCTATAAGTGCACTGTTTGTTCTATCCTATATATCTTTTGTCTTTGAGGATGTTAGTAATTTTAAATAAATACTTTATAGTTGGTTCCTTCATTGTGTTTTTTCTTCCATGTATATACCTTTTTTGTTTTCTTTTTTTTTCTTTACGTATTTAACACAGGGTCTACAGGATCTCACTGCGCAAATCGGACTCATAGTGATCCTCCTGTTTTCAGCCTCTTTTGTCTTCTTTTTGAAGAACAGATTTTCACATTAGAGCTCTTCAGTTTGGTACTTTTCTGGGCTTTTGTATATTAGAGCAGGGGACACATTTGCACAAACATTTGCAAACTTTGTGTATCTATAATCAGCAATTGCTGGTGGGAGATTCCTAGATGATACTACCTCTATAGATCTGTCCTTTGGGGTTATTAACTTCCTACAGCGAATAATTCTTTCATTATTTGCACTTTGGGAGCAGGATAGGAAGAAAAGGCCTAGCAGTCTCACTGTTCATCAGGACTTTCACATAACTCTACATTGGAGTCTACCATTATCACCCACATGTTCTTCTGGGCCATTATGTGTCTGAAACCTAAACCTCTTTTGTTCACTTTTTTTCAAAGAAAAAAACATTTACTTACCAGAAGAACTGAGGAGGATTAGTTGCTAGGGTATGCAAGGCGAGGAATGTTCTGTGCACTGGCTGTACATAAGTCGCCTAGCCTTTGGCCCAGAGTTTCAGTCTCACCTTCCAGGATATCCCAGAGTTCTAAGGTATTGCTTCAGGATAACTCTTCCCATTGATCTTTTGTTTGAGGTTTTGTTTTTTTTGTTTTTTATTTCATACTGGGGTTCAAACCCAGGACCTTGTGATTGCTAGCCAGGCGCTTATGTCACTGAACTATCTTCTCAGTTTCTGATCTTCTGTTTTCAAGACTTTTCTTTCCTTGTTTCTCAGTAGTTGTCTCCTTTTTGTCATCTTTGTCTTTGGAATTTTTCTTGTCATTATCAGTAGAGATTAAGGAAGGAACTTAGAAGGAAAGGTACATGTTTTACCAGAGGCTTCTGTTTATTCTTTGTGTTCTTTGCGATGCTCCTGTGCTGCTTATTTTAGTTATTTTCTCCCCCACTAAATGTGCTTTTCCTAAGATTACTATGTTCAATTGCATACTGAGTGTCCAGGCAGTGTTCTGAGAATTCTCTTGAGTTCTTTCGCCTCTACTTCTCTACTAGACCACAGAGATTGGCTATTGAATGGCCCTTCCAACCTTTTGCTTTATTTACTGGCTTTTGCAAAAACAATGTCCCTAAATATTTCCCTTCCCTTCCCTTTCCATGGTCCAGGCCAAATCAAGAGTAATTCTGTCACCAACCAGGTGCTGGAATTTCCCTATAAGATGAGAGCTCTTGATCTTGTTCCCAAAGATATTATATCACTGTATAGACAGCTTGTCAGATGTTCTCTGTCTTTGGCAGTGTTTTCTTGTATATTGGAGTTGAAGGCATAGATAATTCTTACAGTATTTTCAAAGATGGAGTGTGACTTAATCTTGCTGTGGATTTTGATGATTTCTTTAAAAAAAAAGTCTCACCATCTCTTATGGGAAGTGTGCTTTCCTTAACTCCAAATTGATTTTTACCAGCTTCTGTCTCAAAAATTGAACTTTTACTTATATTGCTCTTTCACAGAAAAACTTAATACGGTTGAAATTATGACTACTGAGTACCATAGTCTTTTTTTTTTTTTTTTTTTTTTTTTTTTTTTTTGCGGAACTGGGGATTGAACTCAGGCCCTTGTGCTTGCCAGGGAAGCACTTATTCCACTGAGCCATCTCCCCGGCCCCCATAGTCTTTTTCTTACTTAATTTTTGCTTTATGTTTTAGGCAAGATCCACCAACACACTCTCAGCCAGACAGTGATGATGAAGCAGAAGAAATACAGGTTGGTAGAAAATAATATTTTAAGTAGGTGGTGCTAATTGAAATGACCTCTGAAATGGTTTTGTTATTTAGATCTTACATTCAATAAAGGAAGAAATCCCATGAAGTATTACTTTGATATATTTACATATACTTTGTGTTCAAGAATCATTTGTAAATCATTTATAGGTAATAGATGTACTGCTCTGGAATCCCAAAACAGTATTTACATTTTTTAAAATAATTTTATTGAGAAGCAAATAGCAATGAGACAGTTTCAAAACTGATTACTAGCACAGTTTCAATAATTAATACATTGCATATTGTTGTCTTAGTGGTTATTCATTGTACAAGATGCAGACATGATATCCTGTCCACAGACACTATTAGAACAAATCTCTCTATTCATTGAATTAAGTGAATGCAGCTGTATATCCTAACTATTTTGAGTATACACATACAAAGTATTTACATTTAATGTTTTGTTTCTGTCCTCTTACCCATGCAGTGGTCTGATGATGAGAACACAGCCACACTTACGGTAAGCGCTCAGCAGCACCCGCGTGAAGACAGCTTCACACTGTCCTGTAGGACTTAACCTTAGGCTTTCAGTGTCCACCTCTGGAAAGTCCCATGTCCTCAACCACTGCTAGTCTTTTTGTTGGGTCCTACCATTGATCCTGCAAAATAACCTGAGTCATTCTTTAACATGCCAATCCTGCTCTCTTGTTCCCTTTTTGATTACAAAGGAGACAATACGTACTTGCTGCTTTTGACTGTTTCTATTACACCCTGAAAGATGGAATCTAGCCAAATATAAATTCTGAAGTTCAAAGATTGATGGGAATTAAAATGAAAACTTTGTATATTCCTACTGAAGTAGATTTAAATGGCACAAAATTTTCATTTCCTTCAACTAAGAGCATAGTATGTAGCTTAAACCAGTGTCATATATTAACACGTGTGGAAGTTCTCCAGATCCATTTTCCTACAATGACTCAAACTTATCCTTCTTTGTAACTGAGTAATATATATATGTCACATTTTCTTTTATCCATTCATCTGTTGATGGATTATAGGCTGCTTCCATAATTTAGCTATTTGTGAGTGATCCAAAATATAAGGAGCAAAATAAAAGATAAATGGCAGGAAACAGAGATAGATTCTAGATATGGGAAGAGAATCAGAGAAAGAAGGAAGGTAGAGGGAAAAAGGAAGTAAAAATGAGTATGATTCAATATGTACCAATTCCCCAAGATGAATATAATTATTATGTATCACAAACATATACTAATTTCAAGTGTAAAAATTGATCAAGCATCTTATACTCTTGTAGGATGTTATGATAAAAATTTTAATATATTTTTAAAATATATTGTTTATTTAAAAAATTGTTTCTAAAGATTAAAGCAGCACCAGCGAGATAGCTCAGCCAAATAAGCACCTACTTAGGCAAGTGCAGGGACAAAGGTTCTATCCCCAGCACCACCTGCCCCCAGGTACATTGAGCCACCCAGGACTGGGCATAGTGGGCCACACCTGTAATCCCAGTGCTAGGGCGGCTAAAACAGGAGGATCACTGTAAGACTGAGCTGTATAGTGAGACCCTGTACCAAATACAAAAATAAATAAATAAATAAACAAATTATAGGGCCGGGGAGATGGCTCAGTGGAATAAGTGCTTCCCTGGCAAGCGCAAGGGCCTGAGTTCAATCCCCGGTTCCACCAAAAAAAAAAAAAAAATAC